ATAATTATTGTTTTGTTCTTCTAAACGAACATTACGACGATGACGACTTTGTAATTGACCATTTGAATCACGATTTAAATCTTTCAAAGTGCAGCTAGATGAATGTGAACCAGAAGGCATAACACTAAATATATAAACAACAGAGAGAAAGGAAAATCACTAATAACAAACAGAGTTATATGTAAATGTAAATCACTATCAAAAGGAAGCGTAGGAAGGATGAAAAGAAGAGAATGGATAAATTCCAATCAACCGAATCGTCATAACTAAAAATAAAAGAGACGAAAGATACAGAAATAGATAGAGAGCGTGAGACATAATCATGAACAATAAAAGTAAACGTACAAAAAAAAGAAAAAAAATGTAAATCAATAACTGAGAGGTTAAAAATAAAATTGTTTTATGGTAATAATATCGGGCGTATATCATTCACATGTACACGAGTAATTTGATCACTCAATTGATCTCGAACCTAATATGGTGGATATTGTTTTTGTACGATAATCTGCGGAGTCAATGTATATTGTGGATCTAATTTTGACCTTAAACCATGAATTCTCATCAAAACTTTATCACTAATCTCATATTACGGATTGCTTCGATTTTTATCATAATATTTTTTATTCTTCATATGAGAATAAGTTGATTGATTTCGAGCATGCTGTTGATAATTCTAAGACTTTTCTTGAATTGGTTGTAATAATCTGATGGTTTTTAAAACACATAATTTGATGTTGTATCTGTAGGCATACGTGGTTCACGACCAAATTGTAATTGAAATGAAGAATATTGTGTATTTGCGTGAACACCTGTATTGTACGCGAATACTACTGATTGTAAATATCCGTCCCAATTGTTGTTCTCACGATCATGAAGTTTGGCCAATTGAGGTACAAAGGTGGCATTAAAACGTTCATCCATTCCATTACTTTGTGGATGGTAAACAGTAGATAATATATGATTATATCCAATTAATTGAGCCATTGATTCCATTAATTGATTGTTGAAATGCGTGCTTTGATCAGTTAAAATTGATACTGGAACATCATATCGACAGATATATTCATTGAAAATTGTTTGAGCTGTCGTCTGTGCAGTACAATCAGGTAAAGCAACGGCGGTGATTCATCGAGTAAAATAATCAGTGATGCATAACACATATTGATTTTCTCTTGATGTACGCTTAAATGCTCCACAATAATCAATGCCAATTAACTGAAATGGTCCAGTTGATGTTTCAATTGGACAAAGTAAACCAGGTCTTTTTGATCGACTAACGTTGTACTGTTGACATGGTAAACAAAACTTGATAAATCGAGCAATAGATTGTTTCATATCCGGCCACCAATATTTATTCTTTAATTTATAATACGTACGTCGTATTCCAAAATGTCCACCCAATGGATCGGAATGATAAGCCTTGAGAAGGGAATTAATCATAGATGAAGGTATATAAATTAATTTAATTTTAGTAATATTTCGTAATTCCATCGGCATCAATTTATACAATAATCCTTCGTGCAAAACAAATGAACCACGTGTAGAATTTTGTTGAATTTCTTTGACCTTTTTCTGAATAACAGGATCTTTTGCTTGTTTCGATTTAATTTGTTTTATATCAAATTGATTACAAGTATGTACATTAACTTGTAGTTGAGATGATAAATCTTTGAATTATTCTAATGAAGATGAATCTGATTCTTTTTCCAGTGGTAATGAAGATTTATCTAATTCAGATTCTTATTGAACAAGTTGTTTCTTCATTGAACGTGTAACAACAGCACCTATAACAAGATATTTATCAATGGAAACAGACGCCGAAACCGGTGGTTCCTCATTAAATAATGTACTAATACCATAATCTTCTGCAAATATTTCTTCAGTTTCAGATTGTATTGGATTACGAGATAAATAATCAGCAAGAGAATTCTGTTGTCCTTTAATGTGCATAATTTTTTCAATATTGTATTCTTCTAATAACACAGAGATGCGATCAACTCGTCTGTTCTTCACAGACTTATTCATCATATTGCATAAAGGGCAATGATCCGTGTAAATGATGATTGATCTTCCTAATAAATATAAACGCATACGTCGAAAACATTCCCATATAGCCGGTGCTTTTAGCTTGATGGGATCATATCTTCTCAGAGTGGGAGAAGTAATTTGAGAATGATAGTATAAATTTTTTTGTTTTACCATTGATCACTTGCTGTAATGTACCATCAATGCCAACTTTCGATGCATCCGTTGTTAAGAATACCGGGTAATCATCATTCGAGAACTGAAGAAATGATGGTTGATTAATTAATAATTGCCTCAATTGAAGAAATGCTTCATGTTGAGAATGTCCCCATACGAACTTCTTTCGATTTGGTTTTGTTAAGTTCGTTACTGAGATAATTGGTGCTAGTACATATGCAAATTGAGGTATAAATTTTCGATACCAGAAAATACCACCAATAAATTTATTAGCTGTTGCTAATGTTGTAGGTTCACGTAAATTCATAATTGCTTGAATCTTTTCTTTATTAAGTTTCACTCCAAACTGTGAAACAGTATGTGATAAATAATCTGTTTGTCGATGTAATATAAAGCATTTAGACGAATTTAATTGTAAATTATGACTGGATAAAATAGAACATACTTGAGTTAAATGATTAAAATGTTCTTCAAAGGTGCCGGAAAATATCACAATATCGTCAATGTAAACCAATGAAAATTGTCGGCACGGAGATGATACATCTAACATTACTTGTTGGAATGACAGAGGGCTATTCTTTAAACCTTGAGCTAATACATTCCATTCGTAAAGCCCATATGGAGTAATAAATGCCGTTTTGTGTTTATCTTCTTCTTTAAATGGAACTTGCCAAAAGCCACTTTTCATGTCCAACTTAGAGAAGAATTGATATCCTTCTCCTAATATTTGTATCATTTGTTTCATATTAGTTAAAGGATGATTGTCTTTAATAGTGATGTTGTTCAATTTCTTGTAATCAACTACCATCCGCCAAGTACTATCCTTCTTAGGTACTAGCATTGCTGGAGCAGCATAATTAGAATAGGATTGACGAATAAGACCGGTTTGTAATAATTCTTGAATAATTTTATGCATAGCTTCTTGCTTTCGTGGCGTAGAATAATAAGCCTTTGACGTTGGTGGTGGGTGATCTGTTGTTTTTATTTCATGGGGTTTAACATTAGAAGCAATTGCTGGTTTCTTTGTATCAAATAATTTGCCATAACGAGTAAGAATTTGTTTCACTTGATGTTGTTGATCATGATCATTAATATGTTCCACCAAACAATCAATACGTATGCCGAGTGATTTGGTTTTCACAACTGAAATTCCTATTGATAACGGTTTTGATGTCGGGATTGTGTCAAAGATAATCTTTGCACTATTATCAATAAGTATAGTCAATTGATAGTTCTTGACACCTATCGATATTGTTCGATTAGCAGTGTTGATAATTAATTTGTATTTAATAATATAATCCATACCAAGTATACAATTAACACAAAGATTCTTCACGATAAGTGCTCGAATTGATGTATAAACATTATTAAAAAAAAATGAAAAATCCACCTCACTATAAACAGTGATAGAAGTATATCCATCAGCTAAAAATACTTGTCGTTGCATTCGATTAATAATTTTGCTGTTTCGAATCGAATTTAATGCCTTTTTTTAGATAAAAGTTCGATTAGTACCAGTATCAATCATTAATTTCATTTGTTTATCATAAGCATAAGCATTAAGATAAATTAAAGGAACATAAGTACGTTGTGATGGATTTTCATATTGATTCTTGGAAGCAACACCATCAATCGATGCTTCCATTAATGGAAATGGGAACGGGCACAATCCCGTGAATAATGTTCGGAAGTTCCACAAGTATAACAAACATCTGATGATCTTTTTTGACATTGTATTTTTTGATAAACTAGAATATGAAACATTATTATTACGAGAATTATTCATACGAACTGATGTAGAAGTTTGTAGTTGCGATTGGTGAACATCAATACGTCGTTGATCAACATCTTGTCGAGGATTAATTGTTGATGTTATTGGTTGACGATTATAATTCGTGTTCTGATGATTATCATCTTGATTCAAATTGTAATCTGTATTGGTTAATGATAATGTATCTTCCACTTTCCTGGCATAAGATAAAAATGCTTCAGGAGATTGTGGATCATATAATGCGATATGTTATTTTAATGATTATTTAACACCTACCAATAAATATTGTAATTTCATAGAATCAGTCATTGATGTATGAACTCTTTTACATAATTCAATAACTTTATCATAATATTGCGTATTTGATTGATTAATCGCTTGTTTATATGTTCTCAATTGTTCAAATGTTAATTCTTTCAGTTTGGTTGGCCCAAAAGCTTGTTTAATTGCTTCAACGAAACATGACCAAGTTGTAATCTTTGCTGTTGATTGATTCCACCAACGATAAGCATCTTCTTGTAATTGAATTGATATATATTGTAATTTAAGTTCATCAGGCCAATTAGCCATTGTAAATCGTTGTTCTAATTTTTCTAATCATTCAATAACATCATCTTTTGCACCACGAAAATATGTTGGACACTTGATAATCTCTCTCGTCATGGTAATGAAAAGAGCTGATGTTAATGATGAATTAGTTTCAATCGACGAAGTGTTAGTCGAAGAAAACTGTCCCACTTGTGTCATGTCATTAACAGACGATAAATGATGATCTTTTGAAGGAATAATATTAATTTTCAATCGACCATAAATATGTTGCTTCAACTTCTTGCAAAAATAATGCAAATCATTCTTGATTTCTTGTTTTTCTTGTTCATACCAGAGCCGTTCTTCATCTTGTAAATAAGTAATTGTTGGTCAAATACGGTATGACATCGGATATCGTAATTCTTCATAAACCTGATGTAAATCTAATAACCATTGAGCTGTATTCAACATTTCATCTTTAGTCAGTAATTTAATTGATTCTAAGTGTTGTTGTTCGTATTCTCGATAAGCATCTCATTTTTCTAACGTGTGTTGAACAATGTTATTAGATTGTTTTTTATGATCATCATCCGAATCTTCAACTAATTGTGCTAATGGTAAAGTGTTACTAGACTCCAACGTGGAAGTTAATTCATTTTTAACTTGTTGTTTCGATCGAGTATTTGCAGCCATGAGACTTATAATCAATAATTCACTTAACGGCACACTCCTTGCACGAATGAGATTCCACAAACACCGCTGTCACCCCTGTAAGATACTGCACCACGAATGTGTGGATAATATAAAGGCAAGCGAGTTCAATGTTATATCGCATCTGGCTGGCTGTTTATTTCTAAATGAAAAATAGAGAGAAAAAACAGAAATGACGACGTATCATATAGCGAATGGACAAACAAAAATGACAATAGAGGTCAGGTCCTAACAATTATAGCCTAAAGAACTTCAAGAAGTCCAATTGACCTATAAAATATAGTAACTACATAACACTGTATAACTGTATAATAGCTAATGATTATAATTAGATTTAGATCCTCAGTTTAAAACATACAATTTACTTATATGATCCTATTAATGATATTCACCAATTTTATGTACCTTGTAGTATACCTGCTGCTTAACAGACACTCATTATAAAGCAGCATCCAGGATGCACTTAAATGCAGTACCATAGTAGCTTAAATGCAGTACCATAGTAGCTTCAATGCTAGCTATGACATAGATTCAAATCTCGAAAATTGATTTTGTTGCCTGGTTGTCCACTGTGTTTCCTCACAGACAGTGGCAGATGTTTTGATACACGATTAGCGATCATAGATCACTAGCATCTCATCACAATAGACGAACTACTTTCTTCTTGCAGTTCTAGAGGATTAAGTCAAAGATGATAAAGAAATAGATGTCAAGATAGATTGAATAAAACAATATTCTCGTGATTAGTAACAATAGCTACATTGTTACTTCATATTTTTATCCCGCAGGAATTGCATTAAGACCTCCCCCCCTCAAAAAAAGTCAATTTTCGTCAAAAATTTCGAAATTGAGATAAATGAACGGGAAGATAGCCCGTCTTCAGATCTTTCAGATTTGATATGTTTTTTTATCCAACACCCCATTTTTTGTCTGAAAATTTTGATGATTTCTGTAATCGGCTGTGTGAAAAACATGATTTGTTTTGGAAAAAATGAATTTTGAGGTTTTTGCATGAAAAACAAGCACTTTAATGAAATGCACAGAGGTTTTAGTAAGTTTTATGAATTGTTATAGAAAAAATCGAAGTTCATATAGCAAAAAATGAGAAATCGAATAATTGATAGACAAGAAAAGGCTTTATTTACAACACTAAGATATAACAAAAAAGATCACATAAATAAACTGTATAATAAAATGCTACTTATTCTTCTTCTTTCCATCTTATTTTGTCTCTTGGATTATAGTAACCATATTCATCATCACTAGTTTCATCATTCTTTTCAACATCTTCATTTGTTCTCGTATCAGGATTAAGAAGTGTTTCCTCCTTATCCATATGATTTGTTTCATCATCACTATCATCTGATGATTCATCACTACTTGATGTTGGGTGTGGATGTGGGTGGGTCTAGTGGGTGTGGGTGTGGGTATAGCTGGCATTTACAACTACACCCACCCACACCCACATCCATACCCTTGTAATTCATAGGAAGTGGAAATTTTCATAAGTGAACGTCCTTGGAAAACGCTCAAGGTCTTTTTCCTCGATGCTATTTACCTAGCTTTTGACAGTATATGCCACTTTTTGTATCCAACATACCCTTTTTTTCTAATTCTTTTACCATTTTGTAGAGAATCAAAAGTTACACAACATATAAAAAGTTCAGTCTGGGTTCTGATGTTTTCGATAAATGGCAGCAGATATATCTCTAAAAGTCTGACGTCATAAGCTGATAATCTGTTACCTTTTTTCATTCTTGTTAGCCCAATAAAGGAATGATATACAATATTTCATATACCTCATTTTTTTCATCTATCCAAACTCAATCATTTGATATAAACCCCTCACCGCATTAGAAGACCCCTGGTCTTCTATTATGTCTCGTCGTAGAAATTTCTCAGAGGGGTCTTCTATTATGTCCTAGGTTTTTTACCAATTATTAACTGAAAGTAGTTTTCCAGAA